ACATAAAGATTTCCTACAGGCATTCAGCCTTGTGTGTGCGTGTGTGTGTGTGTGTGTGTGTGTATGTGTGTGTGTGTGTATCACAACAGAAAACAAGGGACAAGGGCATATCAAAATGTTGTTAAGATCCCATTTTAAGTCCCTAACCCATTTACAATCCTGTGAGGTAATCATAGCTCCCCACTTGCTGCCTTTGACAGCACTGTCACCTCTAGCATGGGACACTGTGAAAAGGAACTTTGTATATTTTCTGCCCAAGAAAAAAACTGAACACAAAGGACCAGTTATTGAGTCAATTTTTCATCTAGGAGTCTAAACTCCAGCCCACAACAGACTACTCAGTAAGTAAATAGAAAATAGTAAACGCATTGTAGGTAATGGTTATGGTGGACATTTATAGGTGCTGGCGAAGTATTTAAGGTAGTAATAGGTAACAATTTAACATATACTTAAGATTAACAAGCTGAATAAAACATGTTAAAAAATAATAAACTTGGCTTTATGAACTCTTTATATAAAATAAAACAGAAACAATCTATAAAAAATCTATACTGGGAAAATTAATGTGTTCAACCTCAATGCAAATTCCTAATGATAAAAACCATGAAGTTTGCTATCACGGGAACAGATTTTTTTTTTTTTAAAGGCAATGAACTTCACCACCATCCCAAATTTCAGTCCCTCTACTTTATCCCATGGCGCTCTAGCACTATGCAAATGCGAGGAAAGGCTCGGAGATCTGGGAATGGACAAGTCATGCCTCCCGTGTTTATTTCTGCATTTCCTCCCCTATCAACTTTGCAAGTTACAATATCTCCACCCTTTTATGCAAAAGTGTTAGGACAGCAGTCCCAACCAAGCCTTTGGAGGCCTGGCAAGCATTGCTGAAAGGATCCCGAGTCATTTTCAGTTAGTTAAAATCCATGTGCTTGCACATATGTAGAGGGAACAATGCCATCATGCCATCATCCCACGTGTTAGCTCCAGGCAGAACCCGAGGCAGAGCTCAGAGAATGACTGCATCTTGTGAGTTCCAGGTGCCCAGTTTACTTTCATTTTAAGTCCTATTATAAGGTTAATATAGTAACACAGACTCATTCTGTAAAGTGTTTCCTCTGTAGAGTAGATACAACAAATAAAGGAAACCCATTCTGAAATTTGTAGTACCTAAACCCATTCAGCAGGTTATCAAATTTTGTTTTAACAGTTGGACTCATCTATATTGTATCTTGCCTTCTTATGTGGATCCCTCATATGAGAAATCTTTCCATGGGATTGTAAGATGTATGAAAGTTAAGATCTAAATTTAAAAACGGATAAACATTTCCTGAGTGCCTTCTACGTGTAGGCGGCAAATTTAATGGCTTTATCACATGCAGTTTTATGAACGGACCATGATGATTTTAAGGGAGCCCCTCGTGATGAGTATGTGGGTCACAGATGTGACATAAGTGTGGTCCTATAAACACTCGCTCCCCTACTGCAAGATTTGGAACATGTACTCATAGGATCAAAATTCTGATGTCAGATTCTATACATCCTAGATCAAAACGGAACCTAAACTATATCAATATTCTCTCTTAACAAGTTGTCACCACCTAGTGGCCATGAATGGATTCTGATCATGGCAGAAAGTTGACGAAATCAAAGGGGCTTGGGTTCTAGGGTCCCTCTCTGTCACTGAAAATCTCTGACTTTCAGTCCTTTCACTGGGGAAATGAAAACAATTATCTCCTACCTTTCTCATTGCAAGGCTCAATGGGACACTGTATAAGGAAGAAAAGCTTACAATTTCAAGACTTTCCGAACGGAACACTGATGTGTAATGGCTGCTATGGGTTGAGTGTCAGCTAACGGAGAGTGTTGCCATCCCTGCTACCCTCTCCCAGCACAACAGGGCACACTGACGAGCCCAGCTTCAGCTAACCGAGACTGTTGCCGTCACCTCTAGCTCTCCCAGCACAACAGGGCACACTGACGAGTCCAGCATCAGCTAACCGAGAGTGTTGCCGTCACCTCTAGCTCTCCCAGCACAACAGGGCACACTGACGAGCCCAGCATCAGCTAACAGAGAGTGTTGCCATCACTTCTAGCTCTCCCAGCACAACAGGGCACACTGAAGTCTCCCACTATCCATTTTCCTCTTCTTAAATAAAACCATACAGAAGTACATGAAATAAACCCGAGAGGTGTGCACTGGCTATAAAATGTGCTCATATTTCACACGTGGGCACTCACAATGAATGTGTGAGAAAGCAGAACACAGGCCAATTTCATGCTGATAAATTTCCTCACAGTACAGGACTCAGCACTGCTTCTACCAGGGACTATCTGGTCAACTTCCAGAAAGTAAGTGGAAAGTTGGTAACTGCATGGCTGTGTTTTATCATAACCTTTCAGACTTGGGCTGTCTGTAAATGCTGCAAAAAACAAGCAGACTGAACACTGCCTTATATTCTTAATGCCCCCAGTGAGGATTCATGAATGTCTCCATGAATCGACTTAGCTATGTATCAGACTTAGCTATGTATCAGACGTGTGCCCTCCAGCAAAACTTTTGCTTAGATGTTGGAAGCTGTGAACCTCCAGATCCTGAACTTCTTGTAAACAACTTGTTTTCCTCTGCTCTGAGACAGCCTGCAGCTGATCTGAGCATGAGACCCTCAGGAGCCTGATGGCAGGAGAGTGGTTCCTGGTGCATTTGGCTGGGGCATGGCTATCAGTTAAGGATCTCTATACAAACGGCTCTGGTACACAATAAAGGGGGCATTCCTGTTTCAAGAATGACCCGAGTCCCTGTCTGTGTGTCTTTGTGTGTTTTAGTCTCCAGCCCCTTGCCCGGTTCACGAACTGCACGGCAGCGCATAGAGCGCAGACGGCCGCGATGCGCCGCACCCACGTCGTTCTTTACAACAGAGGCTCACTAAGGTTTTCTGTTTTCTATTAAAAGAAAAATGTGAGTCTTTTGCATCAAACTTGGAAAATGCATTTTAATAGCCTGCTCCACAGTCAGCTGTACTCTTCTCTGGAACGATCTTATCTCTGTCTCCTCCACTTCTCGGTCAGCTTATTGTTCTATGAATCTCGTTATCTGTCGTGTTTGCCTTCCTGCTGTCCCAGTGACATTTGCATGTCACCTCCACAACATGGCTGGTGTCTTTGTGAAGTGAACATCCCAACACATCACCTGTTTTCTGCGTATAATTTGGTGATGCTAAGTCCTGGCATGCACGCCAAAACACCATTTCCTGCAATGGGGATGCAGTGGGTCCCTTGCTTCTTTCCACAAGCAGGCTTCTCGCTTACTTTACCAAATTCTTGCCCTACTTTCAGATCAGCTGGAGGGGTATCTTTCCTCAGAAGAAGTCCTTAGCCCCTAAGACCATTTTTCTCTATATATACAATCTGTCCCACACATTCCAGTCTTTTCCCCAGCAATACTCCTACATTAGAATGTCTGACTTCTGTTCCCATCCCATTGGAGATTTTGAGAAATTTTACTACTCCAACCCTTAAGTTTCATGAACAATTTAGGAATAAAAGGCTAAACACCATTCCAGTTTTAGACAGACTCCCTAGAAGAGCTGGCAGATCACATACAGTATGGAAAACTATTTCTAACTGAGCTGACACAATCAAAGGACACACAGGGAAAGGATGTGCTGTCACCTGCCCCAGATCTGAAGCGGTACTTATTACAAAGTATCAATGGTTGTACTTATCATCTCAGAGACAGGGTCCCCTAGAACACATTATCTCATAAGAAGTCAGAACTCTGGTCATCATTGCATAGAAAGAAGAAATAAACCATTTTGTACCTAGTGCTTTTCTTTTCATCCTCCAAATCACAGAGATTTTCCACTTTGCAACTATGCTATGTGCTTTGATCATATAACTCTGATTTTTTCACTGAGTCTTCCTCTCTCTCTCTCTCTTTCTCTCTCTCTCTCTCTCTCTCTCTCTCTCTCACACACACACACACACACACACACACACACAGATGTGCACGCATAAGCAAATGCACAGATTTTATCAGTTGGTGTAGACTCTAACAGACACATTAGAGTAAAGCCAGCAGGAAGACATTTTGCAGTAATCTGTGTTTAAACAGTTTGAACAGTGAAAAGAAAGGAACTCGGTAACTCCCTCACAGCACAGCACCTCAGTGAGCACTAACACTTTAAATCCAGTCTCAAGAAGATTTCTAAGTATATTTTGATGCTACTTAGCACATGATGGAGTCATCAAATACAGTGGTTATAAGTTTGTACAATCAAAACATTCTGTACTAGAGACATTACACATCTCATCTTGCATATGTATATATTAAATATAAATTTCTCTAGTTTATATATTTGATGAGTTCAGTCAAAGAAGAATTCAGTACATAATTTACACAAAGCTTTAAATGCCCTTGGGAACAGGGTTCACTGTGACATGTTTAACACAAGGTTATCAATGTTTTAGTTTTGTGCCACTCGCTAGAAAGACTTTGTGCTCATGAGTTTGACAACACATTCTCACATGATTTCAATCATGGCATGAGCAGTTTAATCTTATATTCATAAGACCCCAGCTACATGAAAGAAAAATTATTTTTTAATTGCAATAGACAATCTCAGTTAAAAATTAAAATAGAAAATTATTTATCATAAAAAAGGCAGAATAGCTAGAGCATGATGGTGCATTCCTATAGCTGGGTATGGGAGAGGTAGAAGAGAGAGAACTGGAATTTTGAGGTCAGTCTTGGCTATACAGCAATGCCTTGTCTAAAACAAATAAACAAGCTGAAAAGGAGTCGTTATTAAAAATGAAAATCAATGAAAGTTTCATGAGCTGTTGTTTATGACTCTAATATTTTTGAAAGCTGCATGTGTAGCTTATCCAAAACTGTGAATGCGGCAAGCAATATTCACGTACTTGTAAACAATGTTACAAATATAACTCAAAAATGTAATTAGACAAAAGTGGGACAGATTACCAATGTTATAAAACCTCACCTATGAGTATCCTGCTCTTCTGGATGCCACTTTTGACTTCGTCATCAATCAATTCGGTGAGCACCTGGCGCATTCCATCAATGGACTCAAGGTGTTCTGGGCAGTCATTAGAGATTTTAAATCTGTCAAACCACACATTGGAAAGTCCACCCTTCATAGGTGTATACGGCCTGTTTAAAACAAATAACAAAAAGTGGTATTAAAATGATTGCTTTAATTTCTGAAGGATTAATGTACTATTTCTGCTGAATTTTATATTAAAGAATTTGTATGAAAAATGCCCCACACAGCCTATACTACTGTTCTTATATTTATTCCATTAATGTTTCCTAAGCTGGTTCACCGTCTTTATTGAACTGTCTAATGGTTACATTCATTTATGTGGGGAGATGTGCCATGGGCAATGTGACGCTCAGAGCACAGTCTGCACGTGTGAGTTCTCTCCTTCCAAAACGAAGGTTGCAGAGGTAGAACATGGGCCTTCAGTCATGGTGGCAAGCACCCTCAGCCTCTGAGCCATCTCACAAGTCCATTACCTACTTTTAGGAGGTAGGACCATTATGGTGCTATGACTATTAGCCCATTCATGTACATTAATGCTATGCAATGAAATTCCAGTTTTATACCCACACTTGTGCACATTCTGCATCTTTGTAAACCAATTTCAGTTTCAGGTCTAACTTCTAGGTCATCAGAAGTAAATGTGAAGGAGAGTAAAGACAATTTGGGAGATGCTTTGTGGTATGGGGGCAGCGCTGCTAAAACATGGAGAAGGCTGGGCTGCCCAAGAAAAGAGACAGGGGGTTTGATCAGAGGCACTACCCTTTTCCTGGTGAGCTCTTGTTTTCTTACTTAATAACAAAATGCATGGTCCGCTTTATGTGTAAGAATGCCACAAATGAGCTAGTGGCAACAGAAGACTCACTATGATTGAAAGGCATTTCAACCAATCACAGTGACTCTCTGCAATGCTGGCTACTCAACTCTGTCTCTTCCACTTTGTTTTTCAGATTCAGGTAGGCACTCACTATCCAAGCCATGTAGATAAAATGTGTGGCCAGGCGGTGGTGGCACACGCCTTTAATCCTAGCACTCAGGAGGCAGAGGCAGGCAGTTTGAGGCCAGCCTGGTCTACGAAAGCTAGTTCCAGGGCAGAGGACAGGCTCTAAACCTTAGAGAAACCCTGTCTTGAAAAAAAGAAAAAGAAGAAAGTGTGTAACTTAGAACCATAAAAGACAGGAACAAAGAGAACGAGCCGGGCCCTGACCTGCTTCCTTGCACTTCTCTTCTGAAACCACATGGGGAAGTGCAGTATAACCAATGGCCTCCCCAGCGAGTGTCAGGCAACAGCTGGCACTGGCAGACTACATGCCACCACTTTTCCCTGCTGATGGCACTTCTGAAAACGAACGTTCATTCTGGGAACCTGGTTTGTATTTAAAACTTTCCCAGAGAAGCTGAGAAAATCCTAAAAACAAGAAAGGTACCCTGACTCAGATGAAACCAAAACGTAAGTGCCGCCATCTTCTGTTGATTGACTGCACCGTGTGATGGATGCTACTGCGGGATGAGCCTGCATGTGTTCTAATGCATGGGATGCACACTCCTTTCAGGGCATACACACTGGAAATCTCCCTGCCTTGTGTATGTATAAAAACATGCACCAACACAGTGATGTGCCACGGTGTATTACTAAATATACACATACAGGTTAGTTTAGTTCCTAGATATACTATTTAGGCTTCTGAGAGAATAAATCAGATTTAATGTTTGCTCATCTCCTCACCCTTTCCCTTAGAGACCTCACTCTCCACAGCAGCAAACGGATTTAAGCACTTGAACGTCCTCTCCCTTCCGTGTTCCCTTCACATATACTAAAACATAACCTTTCATGACTATTTTTCCTTGGAGCACCGCTGCCTGTCAAAGCTGACAAACGCATTCTGCTTGGCAGCTGAGTGCGTTCTTCTCCACTGCCCTCGCAGAAGTATGTGCCCTTTCCTTAGCGAATGCTATTCTTTCAGTTTCATCTGAGTCTCTGTGCACTTTGGCCCCTCTCCCATTTCCCTGCCAACACTACTATGAATCCATCCCTACCCCATGAATCCAAATAATTACATAAATGTCTTATGAACAAAGGTGAGAAGCTACTTTAGAATTGAATCTCCCATTCTCCCCTGATGATCACTTACATAGTACCTAGATTCTAGTCCCTGTGGATGGGGTGACATAAATAAACATATATATTTAATTATGGAACAGAGACCAACAATCATATTGCTAGAATGAAAGGTACAGATTTTACGTTAATACATGTTTCAAAATGGCCTAGACAAAGGTGGTGAAATTCCACCATTCTGCCACAGAAGACTACTTTTCCTTCAGAAGACTACCTTTCCTACAGCTTCTGTAGAAATAGCTACTGGTGGAGGTACCTATTCTTGCTTGAGTGTGCTGACTAAATTATACAACAAACTTTATAGGGTTAACATATAAAGCCCTGCTCAGTTTTAAGTTCAAAGTTCAAAAGCTTTTGACACAGCGACCACCACCTCATGGTTCCTTATTTAGTAAAGAAGTCAATCATTTGGAAAAGCTTGAAATACTCTCAAGTAATTCTCTTTAGAAAACTTTTGGGATTTTTAATTTATATGCATTATTATCTGAGATTGATGTTGCAGGAGAGAACTTTGGGTGGGGGGAGACTTCTGAAGACTGAGCCCTCCAGGCTTCTCCTCCACTGCTCTCTGCCCATCTCCTCAGTTGCTGTGGGAAAGATAAAATTCCACTGTAGCTCAGTTCAGTTCCCCTCTGCACCTCTGACCCCAGAAGCTGTTCGGCTCTAGATAGCTCAGGTACACTGAGAAGACATAAATCATCCAAGCCTTCCTCCTCCAGGGGCCCTGTCGAGGTTAACCCCGAGCCCACTGCAAATGAAAAGCAGGTACTCGGATCAAATCCTTGTTACACACTGCAAAGTCCCCAGCTCACTGGAACTGCCACTGAAGTCAGGGAAGCCCAGCTCCAGAGCAGACACAGAGCCCTCGCTTATGTTCCAATCAGACTGTCACCCTTTGAGTCAACTCCGGCTCCCCTCTCCACTTTCCTCTGCTTCTCTCTGACTGTTTATTTGTCTGTCTAAGCACTTAAATAAGGATGATATCATAGGCTAAAATGTGAATCATTCTGGGAACTCAGCCATTAATGGGAAAAAATGATACTCTCTTTCCTCGTTTTCCCTTTGACAATGCCTTATTTAATTAATCTAAACGGATCCACTGAGGTGTACACAGCCCAACGTAAATCCCAATTTACCCAGCTGGAGGGTTTTGGTCTCTCATTTCTAAAAGAAAAAAAATTAAAATTTTCTATTCAAAAGGAATCATTAGGATAATTTAATGGGATAAAAAGACTTCAGAACTTTTTTTTTTTTGCTAAGAAAACAATCAAGAGTACATAAATCTCCAAAGATGTTAGAATAACCTTTAAATAAAGCATAAAAGACTGTTTTTTAAACAGCTGAAAGGCCTGGCACATGTGTTACATTCATTCACTTCTTCCTCAAATAAATCACTTTATTAGCTGGTATAAAAGCAGCTCAGACATTACCACAATAAACAAATATGTTCAGCAAGGAGCATCTGTGTGACTCCTAAATCAATCAATCAATCAATCGGCCATTACACACTGGTAAAGTATTAGCCCGGAATAAATGTCCAAAGACTTTTTTATTTTTAATAAAATGGCATGCAGCTGAATATCCATTTTTATTTTGGTCTGTACTCCCCTAAAATTAAAAAAAAAAAAAACAAAAGACCATCCGCAGCCTTTTTGATAGCAACCTTGCCCCAGTCTTCACTGGACCTGGTTTCACAATTTCCCCTAGCATGCTCTAGGGTCGAGTTACTTGGACCAGCTCACCATTGATGCAGGAGCATCACATTGGTCTTCCTTTCCCTGCAGGCTCTTCCTGTCCTGTGCTGAGCTCCCACTAAGTCTCAACCCAAAGTCACCTTCTCAGAGGAAGCCCTTTGACTCTCCAGTGTTGCCTCTATTCTGTAATGCTGACTCTGTCTCTTTAATTTAAAGGCCTTCATGGTATTCATCATTATTTGAAATTGTAATTATTTGCCTTTCTTATTCAGTCTGCATGAGTAGATGACCTCTGGCCTTCACGGGTACCTGCATTCAGATGCAGGTGCATGCCACTTATATGTGTACTCCCCATATGAACATGTAAATATATAAACTCATAAAATAAGCATATAAGTCTGCTCTAGAGTACACGCTTACTGCGGATGCTGAGCACCCACTGTATGTGGGAAATTGTGTAGTCACCGTGTAGAGGCATACACAAGCCTGACGAGATTTAGAATTTTTCAAATCACCAAGAGAATTTATCCTTGAAAATTATAAATGGACTATAAAACATTGTTAATTTTTAATGGAAATTCTGTTATTAGATCCAAACTAAGAAAACCTGTGGTTGTAAACACAGTTAAAATATGCCACAAAAATAAAAATATTTATTGGGTACTTCCAGTTAAAGAGTCCAAATTAACATAATGAAAAAATACTATTTCATTTTTCCATTTTAATTAACACAGAAAACTATTGTTGACTTTTACTTAATATACTGCTGCTTAGCCAATTTATAGCAAAGGAAAAGGAGTATTTATAGACAAAAGGGTAATTCACAATTTAGCAAAAATACAATGACATGCCATTACAGACTACGCTGAGCAAACATAATAAACCACTGACCACTCTTAGGTTCTTTGTGGCGTTTATTACTACGAAAAACAAAATTATAACCTTGCTTGATGTGTTCTCAGCATGTGTAGATGAAAGGCATGGTAGTCATAAAGGGGATGAGGAAAAGGAGCCTAAGTGACCTGAAGTTCTAAAATTCAATTAAATTGGGAAGGTCTGTGATTTATATTGAGCTTTACCACAATCAAGAACAAAAAGAACAGAGAATTAAATTAAATTGAAATATTAAAAAAATTTAATGGTGCAAAAAATAAGGAAAATAGAACACAGGTGAAAAAACTAGACTTGTATTCAAACCTATAAATTCAATGTTACATTAAATATAAATGGATAAACAAATCATTTAAAAGACAGAAGCTATCAGATGGGTTCAATATACAAGCAAAGCCCAGCCATATGCCATCTGTAACAAACACATTTTAAATAATTTTAATGGATAGACAAACTAAAAGTAAAAGGCTGGAGGTTTGCTATGCAACAGTAACCAAAGTAACATACAGTAATGGAAAATTTGTAAAATAAGTATAGGAAAGCTGCTGGGCAGTATATAATTATTACAGAAATTACACTTTGGGCTGTTACCAGAAGTTAAGAGTAATCATTTTGTAAGAAAAAGATATTTATTAACGCTTTCTCCTCATGACTCCTAGAACCACTTAAAAACAATTATCGAACATATATAAAAATTTCAGTAATACTATCAGCCACCTTGGACTATACATACAATGCTATGCATAAAAATACACATGAGAGTCAACATGATAGAACTTACGTGAAGCCATAAAGTTGCAGGGAGAATCCAAAGACTGGGAAAATATAAAATATTTTATCTGATAGCAATGAAATGAAACTAGAAATCAGCAAGCATTAGACACCTGTAATAACCCTCAATTCATGGAAATCACTAACAGACTTCTAAGTGGCTTCCTGACTTAGAAGGTCCAGGAATTACACTGACTGCATCCAGTCAGAATAATAACCATACAAACCCTTTCCACAGCGTGGCTAACATTTGCAAGAGGTAAAGGCCTACACTTTTTACTTCTAACCAGGTTTCCTTGTGGAGAAGCTCTGCCCCTGCTAACTTCTGAGTTCTCTGAGGGGATCCCCACTGGGAACCACGCCTCCAGGCTATGACACAGCTCAGGACTACCAATGGTGGGCAAGGGAGATGGGTCCCATACAAGCACGAGAATCTGAATTCAGCACCAAGGTAAAAGCCAGGAGTGCTGGGGTTGGGAGGAGGTAAGAAAGGGGCAGTCAGGTCCCTGGAGCCTGCTGGCCTGCTAATCTTGCCTACTCGGTGAGCTCCAGGTTGGTCGAGAGAGACTGTCTCAAAAAGCAAGGTGGAGAAAAGCCTCGGGCTTCGGTTGGAGCCCACGAGCATTACATAGTAAATGTACAGCTGACAGGCCAATAGACAGCTCCACAGGAAGTGGATATGTACACATCCACACAGAGAAACCCATTCAGAAGAGCTGCGGGAACAATTGTCTCTTGGAAAGGTCACTGTCAAATCTGTAAAAACCTAGTGAAGCCATAATTTTTCCCTTTAAAATGGGATTCATTCCCAAAACACCTCAGCAGTGTAATTTCCTCCCACATGGGCAACAGAATGACCTTCCATGAGGCCTTAGAGCAATAACATCTATTCTTTGCTTTAATAGTCAAAATTTATATAAAGATTTTCACTTGCTATAGTAAATCTTAGCTGGACCCTGAGAGGTTTAATGGGGCTTAACCCCAAAATCATCAACAGGCTTCCATGTGCACAAGCATCAATATGCACACAATTACACACACTCAAATATATATATATTTCCAAACGATAAAGCCCAGTACAGGGTCCAGGGTGCAGAAGCTGCAGGAAAGCCCCAGCTAATATCCAGTATCAACTGCCAGCTATGTGAGTAAGCCTTCAGATGAGGGATCCAGTTCCCAGCAGACAAATCATAAGCCACACCCAGTCTTCAAGCTTTCCCAGGAGAAGCCCCAAAAACAACAGAATTGGGATTGAGTCACCACTATTGTGCCCTTTCTGAGTTCCTAACCCACAAAATTTGTGACCATAATAAAAGTGTTGCTGGGGGTGATTTGTTACACAAAAATTATACAGGGAACATGAAGATGATAGAAAACCTTCCAACATAAATAAAGCAGAAAAAAAAAAAACCATGATGGTATTTGGCTAGAGTAGTGATAAAATTATTTCTCTAATATAAATAGGATGGAAAAAGAAAACTAACAGATATAAATGAAAAGTAACAGAGAGAATGATGCTGGGTGTGGTGAACACCTGTAATCCCAGCGCTCAGGAGACAGAGACAGAAAGATCACGAGTTCTAGGGCAGCCTGGACTACACAGTGAGATTCTGTGTTCAACCTACAACCAAACAGAAAAGAGACAAGACTAAACTGGTTCTAAAAAAGATCAACTAGTAACCCTTGATAAGACAAAATACACACACAAATAATAATAACAATAACAATAATAAAATAGTACTATCAGAACTGAAATAAAATATGTAAGCAGAAATTTAATTAATAAAAATAAATATCATGAAGTCAAAGACAAATTCCACCAAATCCCTGACACTGCCTTAAAAATGCGCAGAAAATCTGAAAACCTTGATTCTACAAAAGAAAATAAATGCATTACCAACAACTCATAAGAAAACTTCAAGTTCAGGTGACTTTTCTAAGTGCTATCAAACATTTCAAGAAGATATAATACAAACCTAGAGGGACAAACACTTCCAAACACCCACAAATGACAGTGTATGTGAAGATATGTAAATAGGAAATACTCCTGGTTTAAAGTTTGAAAAACACTGACCTAGAATTCAAGTTACAATTGATAACATGTGAAAGTCAAGAGATGTAACACCCGATTTTGTGTTACACCCTCGGTACAGTTCTAGCGCCACCGGACTGTAAGCGAGTTGGACAAGGGCCTGAAGATTGAAATAACACACAGAGACCAGGGTCATTCCAGTCGAAAGGAGACCAGCCGAAGGTCATTTATTCAGACTTGGGGAAGTCCTTAAGTACCTAACTGCTGCACAAGGACCTCTGCCCAGGCAGGTGGGAAATTACCATATTAACAAAGGAGTCAATGCCCTACAGCTAATCACCAGGCGGGGCAGGGAGAACACAGAAACAAATAGGATGCTTAGTTAGCTGACCAGAAACTGTCCTCGCAAATGCACCCCAAGGAACAAGGGCAGATCCAGGCCCTACAAAGAGATAATAATCATTAAACTCTTAGCAAGAGATAAAAACTGTTAAATTCTTGGACTCAAGTCTCAAACGCCTTATTTAATCACCTCCATTTACAACCAACCTAAAACACACCATCCTTCCGGTTCCTACAGAAATGTCAGCATTCCCTTCCCACTGTACCTACCCTGGACACCAGAGGGAAACAAGCTCTTAGCATCAATCCACCAACAGATATCGGTGGGCGCTGCCAACCCCCTAAGCTTAGCTATATTAAAATAACTTTTGAATCTTCTATTTTACAGTCTGTTCTATAACTCCATCAACTAGAGAAATAAGTTCTTATTGGTGAATATAAGAAGTTTCTTGAAATCCTGGTTTATTTTCTTGTGAGTACAAGGTTGACAGAAAAATCAAAGCCCAGCATTTCTGTGAATACTAAGCAGGCTTAAAGAAAAATAATAAGAACAGATCATGAGAAATCAGATTGGGTTGCATGACACAATACAATATTTGTTTATGCAAAAAGGAGTTTGTGAAAAAGACTATGTGGATGATTATTTAATATTTATAAAAAGCTGTCCATGGCCTCAAAAGTATTCCACTCCCATGATTATGAATTCTGTTGGATGCACCTACAGATTTCCACTCTAAATATTAAGTAGGCCCCATGCCTCATGTTATCCTGGTCTGCTGATTCAAAGAGCCCAACAGTATTTAACATCCTTTGAAGCTTGGAAAGAATGTTATAAAACTCTTTTCCAGAGATTATGAACCTGGGCTTAACTAAATTATCAGAAAGACTATCTTGGCAGAAGTTATTCAGTTTGCTTTTGGGGTGCGTGAGGTAAAGGGGGGCATTTAAACCATGAGCACTACGCACACTTGCAGGAAGCAGAGCGTGCTGGGAAGGGGTCAGTCAGAATGGCAGAGCATGCTTGCAGGAAAGAAGGGCTTGGCGCCTGGAAAGCTTGGCCAAGGAGCCCAATTTCGAAGTAAAGCATGCATTTTTACAGGTGGGAATTGACGACCCTAATTTAAAATGCCTTAAATACAGAGTTAAAGTTAAAACCATCTCTCTGGCACATACATATATTTTATGCCATGGAGTTCTACTGAGAAGTGAAATTAAGCATTGCATACCTGGAAGGAGCCGTAGGATAAATAATCTTTATGTGTTGGAATGTTAAGTCTTGGTTTAGCACTGTCTTGATCCACTCTCTCATTCCTTGGCCAGAATGACCTGAAAAAATTACAGAATTCGCAGTCAGATAAACATCTTCATAACAGTGTGTTTCAAAGGGATTTGTACCTCCTAGATCACTTAAAGGCTGGAAAAGAGACTGCGAAAAATCTCCACGTGCCAAAAAGCTGTTTAGATTTAGCAGGCAGAATTAGTTCACCAAGCATAAACAGTAGAAATAATCCTTATTATTGTACATCCGGATGTATTGTTTATCAGTTGCAAGACCATACCTAGGCTTGAGTTTCAGTTTCCCTCATTTGTAACAGGTATAATCGATTCTCCTAGAGAGGAATTCTGCTCGGCTGTTGTCCAACACTGTCCATTTCCCATCTCCACTGATCTAAGTGTGTCTTACATATGACTGAAGAGAAAGTGTTAAAGTTTATCTTTTTGTCCTTGTCGTGTGTGTGTGTGTGTGTGTGTGCGCGCGCGCGCGTGCGCGCGCGCGCGTGCACAATGGGCAGGCCCATGTAAACGTGCAGAAGTCAGAAGACATCAGGTCCCACTACATGATTTTCTGCCTTACCCCTTGATACAGGGCCTTTCCCTGAACCTGGAGCTCATAGATTTTTGCTTGTTTGTTTTTTGTTGTTGCTGTTTTCACTAAGTTGGCTGTTCAGCAAGCCCCACAGACCCTCCTGTCTCCCCCAGTGGTGGGGTCGCAGGCACAAGAAGTGGTGCCCAGTTTTTTCCTGGATGTTAGAAATCCAAACTCAGGCCCTAGTACTTGCAGGCATATTCTTACCCATATACTCTAGACCAGATGTCTTTATTAAATAGGATCTGTTTCCAAACACTTCTTCAGCCTTGGGTGAAAGAGACAACTGAATGATAGAAAACCACACTCAGCCATCCACTCACAAGGACCATGTTGTCTCTATGTATGAAATTCTCAAGAAAGTATTTTAAATGACAAAAAAACAGTTAGTACCTTAGTCCAACTCATGGTAAAACCATATAATTAGTTTGTTTATATTTGTTTTACCCAGAAGCCAAATACTTCCTGTCCTTGTAACACAAACACGTGCTCAAGTCCAATGTGAAATTGTTGCCTTCCAACCTGGAGGGCCAAGGCCTCCTAGTTTGCTTCCTGTTGCCATGATAAAACAGATCTAGGCCAACTTGGGAGTAAAGGGTTTATTTCAACGAACTCTCCCAGCTAGCAGTCCATCACCAAGGGGAAGTGGAGGCAGCAACTTGAATAGGAACAGAGCAAGAAACCTCAGAGCAAAATTGATTATTGGCTTGACGCCGTGGCTCATGCTCAAACAGCCTTTCTAAATGTCCCAGGATACCTGCCCAGGGGTAGCAATGGCCACAGTGGGCTGGGCCCCCCTCTATCAATCAACAGTCAAGACCATTCACTATAGACAAAGCCACAGGCCAACCTGAACTAGGCAGTTTCTCAATTGAGACTCTCTTTCCCCAGGGGACTCCTGATTCGAGATGACAATAAAAACTAACAGGACAGGCCTGTGCCAAAAGGAGTCTTTTATACTTCAACGGAGATTTAATTATATAAGAATTATATATCTGTACATCTGGAAGAATTATTTAGATGAACTCTTTTTCCAATGTACAAAATAAAGTTTTATACACACACTCACACACACACATACACACATGTGCAATGTGTAAAATACACTCAGAATGAATGACTCTGATTTCAGACATGTATTATAGGTTATAAAAATGTCAGTGATTTGAAATTGAAAAATAGGAAGCATTAAGCAAAGTGGTCCAGGGGGGTTAAAAAAAAAAGAACGAATTCTAGTTCTTTCTAAAGACACTGAATTAATTATGAGAAGATATTAGTATGTGGGAATTCTGGATGTTCATCACTGATCGCTCCCGGGGTCCTGAATAAGCACTGCTCAGCTGGCTATAAAGCCATAAGTCATCAGCCAAGTCTTTCCGTTCACAGGTGCTCACCCCTCATCTTCTGTTTCCAAAGCGATACGTCATAGCTCTGGGTTCCCCTCACCCTCCCACCAAAAATAATAATTGTGAATCCGACATTTGTGTTCAAATCCCAGCTTCACCGCCACTCACAGCAGCAGCAAACGTTTCTAGACCCGGTTTTGAAATGATGAGACCATCTTACATTGTTGCTAACACTTTCCAATCCCTTGGGTGTTCTAGCCGCCATTCCGTTTAAGCCTGCACGTGTCTCAGCTCAAACAAGGCCTTCTTGGAAAACTCCAACAAGCCTTCAGTTGCAAATGCCTTACTAATGTCCAACCACATTTTTTCCCTTTCCTTACTATTGACTTGGCAGTAGCTCAGGCACCATCTTGTGATCCCCTGTCCACGGCTGACTCAAATTAATTGAATTGTTTTTGTTTTTAAATTTAGGTAGGCCCCCTGAGGACACCGGCTGGATCTCATTTCTTTAAAAGAAAATTAAAAAAAAAAATAGCATTTTTTTTTTCCTGGGAACTTACCCTGGGCCAGCCAAGAACTGTGGATGCAAGAATTAAAACACAGGTCCTTATTCTTTCTCTAGGGGCACTCCCTGGATGGAGATGACTTTGTACTTACCTCAGAGATTTAATGAGTGGACAAAAAAGGAAATCAAGAAGGTAAGACATCAAAAAGGACAGGTGGGAAGCGTATGGGGACCCTGGTGGTGGCAAACAGAAAGGACAATTGCTGTTCACTGCTCTAGGGGTCCTGTGGAGCCTGAGTATATGGGTCAGATCACGGAGGGTCGACACTGAAAACAATAGTTGGCCCCTGTACCTGGAGACTCACACTGCCGGACTGGTGTGCCTGAACCTGGGATCGGCTAAAGACTGCCCAGGTGACTATGCTGTGGTTGGTGAGGGGGGGTCCAGGACACCAGAAAAGGCAGCAAGATAAAGGCGAAGACTGCCTTGGAGAAAGAGAGCACCCTCCCGGGAGGTGGCAGCCCCCCTCCCGATCCTGGGTGCAGGCGGAGCCCTAGGGAGCTCTGGGGGACGAAGGAGAGGGTGCTTCCCCAGCCGCAGCACGCTGGGCGGACAGACACCACGAGGGTGCACTGCACCTGAGCCGTGCAGGAAGATCAGCGAGGCACTGTGTTTCCCGGCCGGCGACACCACAGAGCGCTGCAGGCGAATGGCGCTGGGTGACACAGCCATGGCGGAACCCAGAAGCCAAGGTGCGTGGCCACTCCCTCAACGTCGCGGGGTCGCGCACGCAGGCACGCAGCGCTAGCATGGGTTTACGCATGCGCTGAGGAAGGCTTTCACCTGAGGTTGGGCAGCTTTTGCATTCTGCTGGGAATTGCATCCCTTAGCTTCAGGCTGCTTTATGCAATGATGTAGAATAGACCGCTATCCCGAGAATTTGCTGCAGGTTTTAAACTGCAGTTCTAAAGCTCAGAATCACCCCATTTGGAGAATATTACTGCCTTCAAAATTTTACAGATATAATCATAGTTTTTTATAACCATCCACTTGGAGGCTTACACCAGATGTCCATAGCCTTTTGCATACAGGGTGAGTCAGCCATATAGTAATTTATTTTTGTGTATTTATTTTGTTTTTCTTTTTCTGATAGTTAACAGACAGATCTAATTTTAATGAGCGAGGACTTCACATTCTTTGGCATGCCTGTTACCAAAAATGTGGCCAGTGACTGGTGGGAATGAGTACAAGCTGGAGATTGTTATCCACGGCTGATGGAAGTACTGTGAAAATAAGTGTGGAATTATATGACCCACAACTTCTGGATACACTGCCCCCTAAAGATAGGAAATCAGAAACTCAAGACAGAGGCTCCTACACCAATGTCCACAGTGGTAATCACGGTCTACAAAGGCTACAACAACTTCCACACCATCTCCACATGGATGGGTGGACAGGATGCTTGGGATATGTGTACCAGTGAGTAACTGTTGGTCCTCACAAAGGTGGAATTCTGATTCATGTACAAAATAGATTGTTTGTTAATGGGCCAGGAAGAAGGAGACAAACATTAACTGACTCCATCTGTTTTTCTTATCTGGAATGAACAAATTTATAAAGGTAGACAGTAAATGAATACTTACCTCACTAGGGTCCCCACAATGGGGGTGAGGTGTAATCAGTGCAGAACTCCTATTTGGGGTATTGACTCCTTTCTGGAAAGGGACAGTGGGATGGTTCGCTCAAATTGTTGAGGTATTTGATATCATGGAACTGTGTCTTTAAAATGGTTAAAATAGTAAAATAAGATTTGTTATTTTATTCTAATTATAATGATATGCAAAAATGAAATTATCACTTACATAAGTATTAAGCATAGATAACTTTTAATAATAAGACAGCAGTCCCAGCAAGTGGCTCTTTCTTCATGCAAAATTGGACAAAATAACTCCAGGGGAGTTTATGTGACTAAACCACATGGCAATATACACCATAATTAAGCAATTTCAAATCTCATCTTACTGTTTTTGAAGTATTTGCCCTGCTACTGAATGACAAGCTTGCTTAGTAGCACTTCCTCGTTGCGAGGATACACTTGAAGCTATCACGGTTTTGTACCGATACTGTCAGTGGGAATGCCATTCAGTGCCATTATTGCCATTAGCTAGCTAGAGTAAAAAGAGCCCGACTCGGCTCTCTGTATCCCATAGAGAGTAATGAGAATGAAGTCGACTCGGTTCTCTGTACCCCATAGAGAGTAATGAGAGTGAAGTCTTTGAGGAGTTCGGGGCAGGGCCAGCTCTGCTCTGACAGATGTCTGAGCACTGTTCCTTAGACCTCCCTCCTCTGGGCACTTCTGGAGAGCTCTTGGGAGCCCTGCAAAAGCAGAGCAGTGGGCTCCACCTGGAACTGCATTCACTCTTATGGAGCCTCGCTGTGATCCACCTTGAAGCTGTGAGACAAATCGTCAAGAGCAGGATGATTTAGTAGCTGTTGCTAATGTAATCTTTACTCTTGTTAATAAGCAGCCTGTATACATAGTACTTACAAGGTGCTGAACTCTGACATAAATAAATACCCGTAACTGAACTCTGGCTACCTACGCTTGGCAGCTTAACTCACTGGATAAGGAACTTGTCTCAGTACAATCCAGCCAGTCTGTGGGAGAGCCTGGGCGCACATGTGTGTCACTCCAGGGCCCAGGGTCTTAATTGTACCCACAGTCAAACACTGACCTACCAAATATAAGGTCAGGACATACAATAACCATTCTAGTTAGTTTTTATTGTCAGTTTAACACAAGCTGCAGTCTCCTGGGAAGAGGAACACTCAGCTGAGGAGTAGCTTAGACATGGCTGGCCTGTGAGCATGTCTGTGGGAGATGGTCTTGATTGCTAATAGATTAGGAGAGCGCAGCACACTGTGGGAGGCACCATTCCCTTGGAAGATGACTCTGGGCTATGTAAGAAAGCTGGCTAAGCATGAGCCCTGAGACAAGCCTGCTCACAGCATGCCTTCAGGGTTTCTTCCTGCTTCACTTCCTGCCCTGACTTCCTTGAGGATGGACTGGTACCTGGAAAGGAAGTTGGATCAAACCCTTACTTCTGTGATTTGCTTTTGGTCATTGTCACGGCAGCAGATACCAAGCAAGAACACTCGCTATGGTATGATTTTGATTTTAAGCATTTCTTGAGCTTTCCTCAGATGCCTTGGCACAATATCCTTCTTTCTCCAGATGAATGACTATCAGTCACAACAGGTAGGCGGTGGGGAATGGATTCCTGCATGCAGGCTAGGAGTTGGCCTCTCACAGAATGCCACCCTTTCTGGGTTCACAATCACTATTAGATTGAGGTAGATTCTTCCAAACCTAATCACAGTGCTCTTCCGTTTTTTCCATGATTTGAATAGGAAGGTATGGTAGCTGTCCTTTTCATCTTTAGTTATGGAACAAACAGAGGGATTTATATTCCTCTATTTAGAGATGCCATCTGGTAAGCACACTATAGATGCTTTGTTTCTTTCATGTCGGGTCACACTTTGAAATGTAATTAGGTTTCAGGCTGGGTGGCTGCCTCATTTATGATGGATCTCTTGCTCTATGGAATCGGGGATGGGAATATTCCTGGAGGGCTTATATTGCTTCATTCTTTCAGCCTTTCCATACCTTCTTCTTTCCTTGTTACTGCTCATATGCTTTTAGCCAGTCTGCCCATCTACCCCGGTACATCCCTTATGATATCGTCAGTTCTAAATAAAAACCTAGCACAGAGAACCAAGCAAAAGCAAAGAAAAGGAATCAGAAAAAAAAATCTTATGCTTTTCAAATTTTTCATGTTTATTAGGATAAAAATATACAAGGTCAAGATTGGCATAGTGACACCCACCTTTAATCCCAGGACATGAAAGGCAGAGGCAGGCAGATCTCTGAGTTTCAGTACAGCCAGAGCTACAGAGCGATACCCTGTTCAAAAAAAAAAAAAAGATGCACGGTCAGAGTTTAGTTTCTTATGCTGTGTTTAGGAATTCTTTCCGGTGTTATGTTGTCTTTGGAGAACATGTGAGGGGCCGCCCCTTGAAGCACAGTGCCTGTTGTTGCACATGGTCACACACGTCAGCGCACGGTCACAGTTTCATGAAGTCATGTCAGCTGCCCTTTGTCTCTTGTATGAGTCTGAATTTGTCTTCTCTGTTGGTTGGATCTTCAATTAATTATTCATTTTAATTATGATTGTTGTATGCATGTATGTGAATACCGTGTGAGTGTGCATGCCACAGCACACACTTGGAGGTCCAATATACCACAGCACACATGTGGAGGTCCAACATGCCACAGCACACATGTGGACATCCAACATGCCACAGCACACATGTGGACGTCCAACATGCCACAGCACACATGTGGACGTCCAACATGCCACAGCACACATGTGGACATCCAACATGCCACGGCACACATGTGGACGTCCAACATGCCACGGCACACATGTGGACGTCCAACATGCCACGGCACACATGTGGACGTCCAACATGCCACGGCACACATGTGGAGGTTCAAGAACAACTTTATGGAATGAGGTCTCTTCTACCACTTCTATGTGGGTCCCAAGAATTGAAGTCAGGTCACCAGGCTGGGATAGTCAGTGCCTTAACCAGCTCAGCCATCTTGCTGGCATGTTTTTTTTTTTTTAATAATTTTTTTTATTAAGAAAAGAAGAAAAAAAAACATAAACAAAAAACAAGTTTCCACCTCCTCCCAGCCTCCCATTTCCCTCCCCCTCCTCCCACCCTTCTCCCCCTCCTCCCACCCTTCTACCCCTCCCCCCACTCCTCTCCCCCTCCCTCTCCAGTCCACAGAGCAGTCCAGGTTCCCTGCCCTGTGGTAAGTCCTAGGTCCTCCCCCCTCCGTCCATATCTAGGAAGGTGAACATCCAAACTGGCTAGGCTTCCACAAAGCCAGCACATTAAGTAGGATCAAAACCCCGTGCCATTGTCCTTGGCGTCTCATCAGCCCTCATTGTTCGCCATGTTCAGAGAGTCCGGTTTTATCCCATGCTTTTTCGGTCACAGTCCAGCTGGCCTTGGTGAGCTCCCAGTAGATCAGCTCCACTGTCTCAGTGGGTGGGTGCACGCCTCGTGGTCCCGACTTCTTTGCTCATGTTCTCCCTCCTTCTGCTCCTCATTGGGACCTTGGGAGCTCAGTCCAGTGCTCCAGTGTGGGTCTCTGTCTCTGTCTCCATCCATCACCAGATGAAGGTTCTATGATGATATGCAAGATATTCGTCAGTATTGCTCTCGGATAGGGTCATTTCAGGTTCCCAATCCTCAGCTACCCAAGGAACTAACTGGGAACCTCATGTTGGGCACTTGGGAGCCCCTCTAGGGTCAAATCTCTTGCTCACTCTAAAGTGGTTCCCTTAACTAAGAATTGTGGTTCCGTGCTCCCCTATCCACCTTTCCTTTATCCCAATTCTCCTGATTCCCCAAATCCCCCCTCCTTCCCTTCTACCTTTTCTCTCCCCATCTCCCCTTACCCCCATCCCACCCCACCCCCAAGATCCTAATTTTCTCCCCGGCAATTGGGTCTACTTCCCTTAGCCAAGAGGATAACTAT